CGCGGCCCCGGCTGCTGCCCAGCAGAGCGGGGCTCCCGGGGCCCCTCCACGCGCCTCGCGCGGGACACGGAGCCGCGGGGCCGTCACCGGTGCCGGGGGACAGGGTTCGCTTGCAGCCCCCGGGAGGGCGGCTCTGCTCCGGGACGGGGACGGGAGCGGAGCTGGTGATGGGCACGGGGGCCGGGACAGTGACGGGGGCCGGTGGCGGGCAGCCCGGTGGGCCTGCACATGGAGCWGCTCCCCGTGCGGCCGCGGCTCCCGGTCCCGCGGAGCCCCACGGAGCCGGCGCTGCCGCCCTGSGCTGCGGGGGCCGGGCTGTTCCCGGCGGCGCCCCCGCTCCCACCCGGCCGCTCGTTCCGCTTTTTGTCTTTCCTTTTAAAGAAAACACTGGCGATGTTTGTGTAGCTGCAGGGCTTCATCCGCACCCACCAGGCTTGTATCTATAACCCACCTGGGGAGCTGGTTGCATCAGCACATTTTGTAACCCCTTGAGCAAAACATCCCTTGCTGCAGGAAATGGGTTTTTCTTCACCCCGGGTTGCGTCAGCGCTCGCCCGTTCCCGGGGGCCGCGCGCGGAGGGGCCGCGCCGCCCGTGCGGCCCTGCTGCTCGGCCGGGGCGCCCGGCTGCCCGCGGGCTCCGCCGCGGCGCCCGGCCCCTCTTTGTCCCCCCTCCGCAGCGATCCTGTGGCTTCCTTCCCGGAACCAGGGAGCTCGGGAGCCGCAGGCCAAGGCCACCGCTCCCGTCCGCTCCTGCTCTGCTGATTCATCAGTGCTGGTCGGTGAAAAAGGAGCAATCAGCAAATTGCTGAAATACAAGAACAATAAACAAGGTGGCAGGGAGCGGAGAGCAGCAGGGCCCGGAGCCGTGGCGCTGGCCGGGCCGCTCCGCGCAGGCGGCCCGTGGGCCGGCACCCCGCGCTGCCCGTGCCCGGCCCGGTGCCGCGGGAGCGGCGCCATCCGCGTGCCCGGCAGCTGCCTCCGAGAGCAGTTGTCGAGCGTTTCCCCGCGGCGTGTTGCGGCTCCCCGTGTTCCTGCTGCTCCTCTTCGTTTACAGTTAAACAGCAGCAGTTCTGTCAGCGTTCCACCGTCCACGATCCGCTCCTGCRCCGCGGGAGTCCTCGGCCTCGGCAGCCGGGCTTGGGGTGACCCTGCCCGGTGACGGCGCCTTGCTGGGGGACCCGGTGCCGCCGGGAACAGCCGTTCACCAGGAGCCCGAGCGGGACCGGATTCCAGGAGAGGGGGCGCGTTTCCCGCGGGGCAGTCGGGTGTCCCTGAGGGCGGCAGGAGCCTCGCGCGGCCGGACGCTGCTGCGGGTGTCCCGGCCGCGGCGCTGCCGCCCGGCCGTGCCSCGGGCAGCGCAGAGGCGGCTCCRCAGCCCCCGGAGCGGCTCTTCCCTCCACCGCTCCACGTTCCCAGCCTGGCACGGTGGGGTGCAGTGGGAGCCGGCGCTGCGGGATGGTGCCGCGCGGCGAAGCTGCAGCGCCGGTTTCGGCGCCGCGGGGCGAGGGATGCCCGGGGTGTCTCATGGTGCCRTGGGGACGGCACCGGGCAGGAGCGGCGGGCGGGGAGTGCCGGGCGGGACACGGCGGGAAGGCCGAGGGCTCCAGAGAGGATTGGGCAGGGAATGAGGGGACCACGCTGTGGTGTGCCATGCTGTCTGCTCCATGCCATGCTTTTGCTATGCTGTGCCGCACTGTGCCATGCCTTGCTGGCTGTGCCGTGCCATGCCGTGCCATGCAATGCCCTGCTCCTGTGCCATGCCTTTCTGGCTGCACCGTGCCGTGTTATGCCGTGCCATGCCGTGCTGGCCTCCCCGTGCCGCGCTCGGAGCGCGGCGCCGTCTGCGGAGGAAGGTCCTGGGCCAGCTGGCGCTGGCGGCCGCAGCCCACGTGGAGCCCGGCGCGGCCGGGGCCGCGTGTGCAGGAATGTTGTTTCTGTCTGGAGCCGCGGAGCCAAGAGCGCCGGGGCGCCGGGTGTGAGGCCAGGCCCCGCTCGCGCAGGGCGCTCCGGGGCACGCGGGGCCGGGGCTGCGGTGCAGGGACTGCGCGGTGAGGCCRCGGATGCCGCGATGGGGCTGGCGGGTGGCGAGCGGCTCCCGCGCTCGCTGCTCGGGACCGGGGCAGCAGCAGGTCCCGCTCCCCGGCTGCGTCACCCGCACGAGGCGCTGACTCCCACGGCTGCTTCCCCTTGCAGCCACACTGCTCCATCCCTGTCCCCGTCCCCATCTTCATCCCCGTCCCCATCTGCATCCCCATCCCTGCCCCCTCCCATTCCCCCTGCCCCTCGCCCACAGGAGGCCCTGGGCCCTGCCGGGGCCACGTGGCCTCGGGATCAGCTCGGTGCCCCTGACTCAATGAGACCCCAGGGCAGCTCCGTCCGGGCCGTGGCCGCAGCCCRGCCCTTGCTCAGGTGCTGTCCACGCTCCTCATCCCTCCACGCGCTGCCTGCTCGGCTCTTGCCCCAGGGCCGGGACCAGCAGCATCCTGGACGCGGACCYGCATTCCCGTGGGAGGGTCTCTGCGGGCCATGGCGTGCGGAAGCGCTGAGAGCGGGCACGCAGGAAGCGGCTGCGGTCGGTGCCCTCCTTCCCCTTTCGGCGGCGGTGACGGGCGGCCTCGTGGCTGAGCCCGCCGCTGTGGAGGTGTCACGGCAGGTTTTCCATGACATCCGTCCTCAGGACGGCCCCAGGGTGGCGGGCGGGGGCAGGCACGGGGCAGGGGCTCCTGGTGTCCGTGGGTGCAGAAAGCTCTTCCCACCCGCACCCGCAGCCGCTGCCATCCCGCCGGCCGTGCCGCCCGTGCGCCGCCCTCCGGCTCTTGCCCATCCGCACAGGGCAGCGCTGCCCCGGGCACCCTGCGGGCCGTCCCAGCCTGTGGCCTGGGCACGCGTCCGATGGCACCGGGCTGCTGGAGTACAGCGCGGCCAGCGCCACCCGGGCCGCTAGTGTCACCAGTGCCGCCAGTGCCGCCCCTGCCGCCAGCGGCACCAGTGCCGCCAGTGCCGCCCCTGCCGCCAGTGGCACCAGTGCCGCTCGTGCCGGAGTTCCCCCGCCGGCGCGGAGGCTCCTGGCGCTCCCCGCGTGGGAGTTCCCTTCGCGGGGCTCTGGCTCCCGCCGGAGTCACCAGAAATCCCCAGATGCTGGTGCCAGGAAGGAAGCGGCTTTGCAAGGCCTGAGTCAGTGGGAGAGGCTGCTGGGGCGCAGCGCTGCCGCCGTCTGTCCGTCCGCTCCGGCTGCTCTGTTTGATGGGCTGCAGCCTCGGCCACATGCCCACGGGGTGTCCTGGTGCCCATGGGGTATCCCGGTGCTCACRGCGTGTCACAGCGCCCACGGGGTGTCCCAGTGCCTGCAGGAGGACCTGGTGCCTGCAGGGTGTCCCAGTGCCTGTGGGATGACCGGGTGCTGCGGGATGTCCCGGTACCTGCTGCCTGTGGGACTGTCTGCTCGGGCCCACGGCTCTGCGCTCCCCCTGCCCTCGCTTGTTCCAAGGGCCCTTGCTGGGCTGTGCTGTGCCATGCTGTGCCATGCTGTGCCATGCTGTGCCATGTTGTGTTGCTCTGTGTTGCACCGTGTTACGCTGTGCCAGGCCGTGCCGTGCCCCTTGGAGCAGTGCAGTGGTGCTGAGCCCAGGCTGGGCCACAGCAGGAGCTTGTGCCCTGGAACCCGGAGGGGATAATGTGGAGAGGCCCTGACGGGCCGCGGCGCTGGGAAGGCAGATGGAGCCGGAGCCCCAGCAGGCTGGGAAGGAGGGCGCAGGGGCCGCCCTGGCCCTGGCACAGCCCCCTGTGCCACCGGAGCCCGGGAGCACCGGGTACGAGCGRCGCCGAGCACCGGCAGGGCTGGGCTCGGAGCCGCAGGACCCCAGGCCGTGCCCGGGGCCAGGCTGGGACTCCGGGCCGCACCGCGGTGCCTGGAGCAGCTGCGGGACCCTGGCAGCTCCGTGGAGCAACTTCCTCCGCGTGCAACCGTGAGCTCCTCTTGCAGGGCCGCGCGGTGAGGCAAGCGGCCGATTGCAGAGCCATTTCCACAGGATGGCGGCAGCTTTTCCGCTCCCACCGCGCGGGGTCCCGGCACTGCGCCCCCCCGCCCCCCTCACGTTTCCTTGCTCCAGTTCCCACGAGCGTCGGCACTTTGGGAGCAGCAGGAAGAGTGTCCCGCGGCGAGGGCTGCGCGGCCCCGGAGTGACGGTGGCACCTGAGTCAGCGGCAGCTGCTGTGCCGCAGGACCCTGGCACGAGCCCTGTGTGTGGCCAGCGCGGCCTGGCCCGGGGCTGCCTTGTGCCCRGCACGGGCACATGGACGCAGCCGAGGGCGCCGCGCTCCCCGCCGGCCCTGCGCGCTGCTCAGCTGCCTCTGCCGTGGCCTTGGGGACAGCAGCACTGGGGATGGCAGAGCAGGGGACAGCAAGGGCTGGGGACAACAGGGCAGGGGCTCCGCGCAGGTGGTCAGGTGCCGCACACGGGCCCGGCCGTGCCCGGTGTGGCCRGTGTGAGCGGTGCCGATGCTGCTCGCGCGGTGTCCGACAGGTCCATGCCAGGGACGGTGCCGCGGTCCCTGCTGCCCCGGCGCAGCCCCGGCGCAGAGCGGCCCGGCCCCCTTCCCACGCATCCGTCCTGGCCTGGAGCCSTGTGTTTACTAAACAAGGTGATGAAACAGTTAAAGCAGCAAACAGAGAGCCTGAGTCTGCGTTTCGTCACCGTGGGAAGGGAGTGTGAGGCTGAGGGGTCTGAGGGTGACTCACTGCCCCGCKCCGCATAAATAGGAGCCTGCGCCGGTGGCGTTCAGAGCCCGGAGCAAGGCAGCAGCAGCGGCATGGACGGGGCCAGGGCAGAGCGGCGCGCGGCAGGGCTGGCCCTGCTGGCCCTCGCGCTGGGGCTGCAGGTGCTGCGAGCCGTCACGACCCCGCTGCCGGAGCGGCCGCGCACCCTCGTCACCTTCCCCGGGGAGCTGGCGAGCGCCGTGTCCGACGTGGAGCTGGCCGAGGTGAGGGCACGCGGGCCGGGCTGGGCCAGGGCGGGCCGGGACCCCACCACGCGCTCAGCGGCGCCTCTCGCCCCTGCAGAGCTACCTGCTGCGCTTCGGCTACGCGTCGGCGGCGGAGAGGCGCAGCGGCGGGCGGCGCGCCGCGCTGGGCAGGGCGCTGCGCAGGATGCAGCGGCGCCTGGGGCTGCCCGACACCGGGCGCCTGGACGCCGGCACGCTGGCCGCCATGCGCGCCCCCCGCTGCGGCGTCCCCGACGTCGGCAGGTTCCTCACCTTCGAGGGGGACCTCAAGTGGGACCACACTGACCTCACGTACCGGTGAGTCCCGACCCGCGCCCCCTCGCCGGGGCTGGCGCGGCTGCGCCGGGGGCTGTGGCACCACGTCCTGGAGCTGCGCGCTGACCCCCGCGCGGCCCYGCAGGGTCATGAACTACTCGCCCGACCTCGACCGCGCTGTCATCGACGACGCCTTCAAGCGGGCGTTTAAGGTATGGAGCGACGTGACGCCCCTCACCTTCACCCAGATCTACAGCGGCGAGGCCGACATCATGATCATGTTCGGCTCCGGAGGTGACGCCCCGCGGGCCCCGTGGCCACCCACCCCATGTCCCCYCAGTGCTGCTCCCCCCACCATGCCCACGAGTGGGGGGTCCCCGTGCACATGGGGTGTCCCCCCGCCCCACGTGCACCGGGCAGGACCCAGCATATGCACAAGGTGCACGGGGCGCTGCTGCAGGACGGTGCTGACAGCGCTGCCTTTGCAGAGCACGGGGATGGGTACCCCTTCGATGGCAAGGACGGGCTGCTGGCGCATGCCTTCCCGCCCGGCGCCGGCGTGCAGGGCGACGCTCACTTTGACGATGACGAGCTCTGGACGCTGGGCACCGGCATCGGTGAGCGCAGGGTCCGCAGGGCCCGCGGGGCCGGGCGCCGCGTCCCGCTGATCCTCTCCCCACACAGAGGTGAAGACCCGCTACGGCAACGCCGGCGGCGCCAGCTGCCACTTCCCCTTCGTCTTCGAGGGCCGCTCGTACTCACGCTGCATCACGGAGGGGCGCACGGATGGGCTGCCCTGGTGCGCGACCACCGCCAGCTACGACGCCGACAAGCGCTACGGCTTCTGCCCCAGCGAGCGTGAGTAGCGGCTCCGCGGGATACAGGGACACAGGGACATAGGGACACAGGGACACGGGCCCCACTCACCCYACTCCCGCAGTGCTCTACACCTACGGCGGCAACAGCGACGGTTCRCCCTGCGTCTTCCCCTTCGTCTTCGATGGCACCTCCTATGACGCCTGCACCACGGACGGGCGCTCCGACGGCTACCGCTGGTGCTCCACCACCGCCAGCTTCGACCGCGACAAGAAATACGGCTTCTGTCCCAACCGAGGTGCGAGGGCGGGCGGCACGCGGGGGCCCCACTCCGCGCCCGGCCCTCGCTCAGCCTCCCTGTGCCGCAGACACAGCGGTGGTTGGCGGCAACTCGCAGGGCGACCCGTGCGTCTTCCCCTTCACCTTCCTGGGGCAGTCGTACAGTGCGTGCACCAGCGCCGGGCGGCAGGATGGGAAGCTGTGGTGTGCCACCACCGCCAGCTACGAYGACGACAAAAAGTGGGGCTTCTGCCCCGACAGAGGTACCGGGCTGGCCCTGTCCGCGGCCCCGCGGTCCCGTCCTGCCGCTGCTGAGGCCAGCGCCTGCTTGCAGGTTACAGCATCTTCCTGGTGGCTGCCCACGAGTTCGGCCACGCGCTGGGGCTGGACCACTCCAGCGTGCGCGAGGCCCTCATGTACCCCATGTACAGCTACGTGAAGGACTTCCAGCTGCATGCGGACGACATCAAGGGCATCCAGTACCTCTATGGTGAGCGCCCGGCACCGCCAGCACCGGCAGCCTCTCTGGAGGCACCAGTGCCCATGGGAATGGTGGGCAATGCCAGCAGAGATGCCTTGGGATGGCATCTCACACTGTAGGTGCTGCTGGGCCAGGCCCACATCCCTCACACTGCTGGTGATGTTGGCTCAGGTCGCGGCTCTGGCCCTGAGCCCACCGCCCCTGCACCCGTGCCCACCGAGGAGCCCGAACCTGAGCCCAGCGGTGAGCCCRAGCCTACCGAGGAGCCCGAGCCCAGTGAGGAGCCTGAGCCCGTGCCCACCGAGGCCGGCAGCGCCTCCACCACCGAGGAGCAGGAGGAGGAGGAGGAGGCGACGCCAGAGCCCACGGCCCAGCCCAGCCCTGTGGACCCCAGCCGCGATGCCTGCGCGGAGAGGAGCTTTGACGCCATCACGGAGATCAACGGGGAGCTGCACTTCTTCAAGAACGGGTGAGCAGCAACGGTGGCTGCTGCAGCGCAGGGCTGAGGGGGGCCAGGAGAGCCCGGGGCTCTGCAGCCTTCACCTTCCCCCCAGCAAATACTGGACCCGCTCGTCCTTCTGGAAGTCGGGTCTCCAGGGCGCCTTCTACATCGCGGACACCTGGCCCGGGCTCCCGGCCGTCATTGATGCCGCCTTCCAGGACGTGCTCACCAAGAGGGTCTTCTTCTTCGCTGGTGAGCTCTGCCCCTGCTCCCTCCTGGTTCTGGGCAGCCCAGCCAGGCCCCGGTGCCCGTGCTGGGGACAGAGTCCCCCGAGGGGCTGCTGACACCATCCCCCCCACTGCAGGCCGGCACTTCTGGGTGTTTTCTGGCAAGAGCGTGCTGGGCCCGCGCGGGATCGAGAAGCTGGGCATCGGCAAGGAGGCCGGCCGCATCTCGGGCGCGCTGCAGCGGGGCCGCGGCAAGGTGCTGCTCTTCAGCGGCGAGAGCTACTGGAGGTGAGGGCTGCGGCTGCGCRCGGGGATCAGGGGCCGGGCGCGGGGATCAGGGGCCGGGCGCGGGCGGCTCATGGCAGCCACGGCCGGCTCTGCTGCAGGCTGGACGTGAAGGTGCAGCGCGTGGACAAGGGCTACCCCCGCGCCACCGATGACGTCTTCACTGGCGTCCCCCTGGACGCACGCAACGTCTTCCTGTACCAAGGTGAGCAGGGCGCTCGGCGGCGCCCCCGCACGCCCCTGCACCCGGCTGCTTCCCGCTCACGCCTTCTCTCTGCCCCTCTCGCCAGACAAGTACCACTTCTGCCAGGGCAGCTTCTACTGGCGCATGACGCCGCACTACCAGGTGGACCGCGTGGGCTACGTCAAGTACGACATCCTGCAGTGCCCGGAGCACTAGGACCCGAYCGGCCGCCCACTCCTGCCGGCACCACGCTCCCCCCGGGCTCCGGGTTCCCGCTGTTGGAGCTCCTGTGTCCCAGGACCGCGGCGGGAGCCGGTGCCTCTTGGCCACGGGGCGGCTCCTCTGCTCCGGGGAGCCCTGGCCAGGGAGCAGGACTCTGTCTGCAGCCTGCRGCGCCCTGCGAGTGGCCACGGGGGCCTTTGCCTGGTGCAAACTGCACAGAGAGCTGCGGTGGCTCCACCTTTCTGCCAGGCCAGCAATGCTGGGCCAGCCCCAGCCCAGGGAGAAGCTGGCGCTGGGGACTCGACACGGGCAGGGACATGGGGCTCTGCGTCACTCGTGCCTGCTACCTACTCTGCCACCTCYGTCCACGTGTTTGTAATAAAGAGAATCCTTTGGACATGGCCTGTGCCTGCTCTTGCCGTGCAGCACCGGGCGCTGCAGGGGTCCAGCACGAGTGGGGACTGGGCACGTAGAGGAGGGGGCTGCAGCCCGGCTGGCCTTGTGCTCCCCATTCCGCTACAGGACACCAGACCCCACTGGGGAGGGTCCCCCCATGTCCCTAGCGCCCCTGTCACCAGCCAGCTCCCCCTACCTCCTGCACGTCCAGCCCTGTGTCCCTCCACGAGTCCCTGCTGCCTGCCTGTGACTTCTGCCGCACGCATGCTGGTCACCCAGCGCCAGCTCACCACCCGGCTGTGGTGACCACAGGTTGCAAAGGCTGCCCGGTCCCAAGGGGACCCCAGGGCTCCCCCCGCTTTGTCGTCGTCGCACGGCGGAGCCCCGGGGTTGTCCCGCTGGGCCGGGGGGGGGCGGGTGCCCCGTCCCTGTCCCAGCCCCAGCCCCCGCGCCGCGGGCGGCCCCGGGGCCGTGGCCGCCGTGGCAGGACGGGTCTGTAATTAGAGCTATAATTAGCGCCGACTGCTCGGCACAGGGCGAAGGACAAAACCCGGCGCGGCCGCTGCCGCCCCTCCTGTGTGGGGCCACGGGGGCCGG